CCTGACCCCTTCCACTGATACTGTCTTCTGAGGGATTCTGGGTAAAACTGACCTCCGATGGGTTTTTTTTTTTCCGTTGCTCACACACACACACACGGCCGTATGTTCCGTCCTCGGTCACGGCGTTTGGTTTTTTCCGTCAGGAAGTGAAGTGTTTCTCGGAGCGGGACTGAAGCCTTTTCATTGTGACGGTGTTTGTCCGTGTGTCAGCAGCAGTGACGGCGTGAGAAAACTCAATTATCCAGAGTGGAGGGGTTACAGCCATGATTTGTGTGTGTGTGTGTGTGTGTGTGTGTGTGTTGGAGCAGATATGAGGTGTGCTGAATTCCAGTGACGTCAACAATTCTCCCACTCCACAGAGAGGAATGAACAGCGACACCCAGTCACATGACCTGCACTGGCTTCTTATTATTTCCACGACAGATGCAAAAAAAAAAAAAAAATATGCTGAGCCGCGTTGGTCAAACTCCTGGACATTATGTCTTAGCACAGCGGTTCCCAAAGTGGGGGGCTCGGCCCCTGTTAGGGTCGGTGGAGCTCTTACAGAGGGGACGTAGCGATGTTGGTTTAAGAANNNGTGGCGGGGGGGGAGAGGGGGGGGGGGGGGGGGGGGAGTCAGTGGATTAGCCAGTACGAATCTACCTTGTGGTTAGAATTTGTGAAAAGACATTAAAGTGTGACTTTAGCGCCACACTGAGGCTGAATGGAGTCACTGACACTGACCAGGTCACACTTACAGACCGAGCACTAATGGAATCAGCCCTTTGTCCACAAACAGACGAGAAGAGGAGGTGCAGGCAGCCCTCCTCAGTCAATTTGTAATTACTGGACTCCCAGAGATTAGGAATAATTAATGTCCTCTGTTAAACTGTGGGAATAATAGGAATGTTTTAGTTTGTTTTGTTTTTTTATTGACCTGAGGCACAAAGAAGACCGATCAATGAAAAGTCACTTTGTTCTACTGTCACAAACACAAACCTCCTCTAATGACTCTCTACCCTCACACTCTACGGTTCACACTGTTTTCTTCTTCACTGCTGCTGACGATCAATACTGTTAAATAATAAAAATTATTTATTATTGGTTTAATTCCTAAAACACTGTTGTTTACATTGAACTAAAGAAAAAAAAAACATAAAAAAATGAATCGTTTAAATGTATTTGCCTCATCGCCCCTGTGGCCCCCAAAGGGCCGCCAGCCTCAATTTGGGAACCCCTAAAACTGACCTCTCTCTCTCTCTGTCGCCCCCACCAGGAGCTGGAGGAGCGTCTGCGTCACCATCACCAGGCCGAGCTGCAGTCGCTCAGAGAGGCTCACCGTCAGAGCATCGAGACGCTGAAACAGGAGTCGGAGCAGGAGCTGCAGACGCTGCGCTTCGAGCTGGAGGACGAGGGCAAGGCCATGCTGGGTGAGAACTCGCAGTCGGACGTGGGCTTTTCTAGAAGGATTGGACTCGTGCAGGTCTTCCGATGTGAAGGTTTTTTTAAAGTTGAGGTCAATGAAGAAGAAGAAGAAAAAAGAAAAAGGTTTTCTGTTGTGTTCTGTTTGGATCTCTGCTGAGCTGAGTGATGGATGTTCTTCCATTAACCTTCATGTCATGGTCCTGACACTGGAGCCTCGCTCACATCCATCTCTCAGCTGCTACTTTCATTACCTTTCACTGCTCAGCTTTACTGCTGGTGAACGTCCGTGTGTGTGTGTGTGTGTGTGTGTGGAGAGGCCGGGGGGGCAGGGGTGCGGGGCATGCCTTTCATTTTTAATTTTCAACCAACTTTTAGCTATAACTCTTGTTCTAGTTCAGTGTTATGTTTTTTCAGACAAACTCCTAGCAGTTCCTACTACATCAAAGAAAACGCTACGAGGAAACTTTAGCTTCTGGCTAACTCTAGTTAGCGCTGGTTAATTCTTAGCTCTGTTTGACTGGAGGTTTTTTTGAATGCTACTTTTTACATTCACCTTCTTCAGTCCAAACATTTATATTATATTTTTCCAATAAATCACTGTTTTGGTGAAAAGCTAATTTAGCCGCTAACACTTTTTTGACACCTTTAGCAGGAGGCTAACAACTGTGCATGTTCTCAGAGCAAGCGTCTCTGAACCTGTGGAGTCTCTACAATAACAGGTGTGAAACTGATCTGGGAATAAAAGGCTGCTTGTCTACAGGCAGCTGTGACAAAAAAGAAAAAAGAAAAATTCTTCTTCAGTTTAATGAGGACTCTGTTCCACTAAAATGTCAGAGGAAGTATCTTCACTGAAAAACCTGGTTTACTTCTAAAGAAAAACCTGAATTAATTTTTGAAATTCTTTTCTCTTCCTCTCTCTCTCTCCCTCCCTCTCTCTCTCTCTCGACCAGCGTCCCTGCGGTCAGAGCTGAATCACATCCACGCCTCGGCCATCGAACACCTGAGACAAACCCACCAACAGGAGGCAGCAGCTACCAAAGCAGAGCTGGAGAAGACGCTGGAGAACAACAGGATACAGGTGAGAGGACGGATGACGTCATGTGGCTGCAGTTCCAGTGTTGTCCTCTAGTCCTCAGCATTGAATCAATAGTTTCCAAATCCTTTTAATTTCTGGTTGTCTTAGGGGCTAACTCTTGGCTTCCTTGTTTTATTTTGGCTACTTTTACAATTTATTGCCATATATTTTTTGGCTAATTTTTTAGCTACTTAGCTTCTCCACAGACCACCGAAGTGTTAATGTGTGTGTACGTTTGTGTCTGTGTCTTTCTGGTATAGCTGTACTCATGGGAACCGTGAGTATTTGTGACTATTTCCAAGGATAAGAAGTTCTAAGTCCAGGATTTATTTGTAGGTTCGATGGAGTTTCACTTTGTGTGGAGATAATAAAAAAAAAATCATTTAGCGCCTGGTCGTGGAGCGGCGTTTGATGATTTATCATCGTCGTCGTCCGACTCTGATCCTCTCTGCCAGTTTCCTCATTGATTCAGGAAAATATTAAAAAAATCCATTTCCTGCTCATCGCGAAACAGATTCTAATTCAGTGCAGAGACTGACGGAGGCTAACGCTTCCACCTGATGAATTTTTAAAGAGCTGATTTATTTTTCAAAGACCTGAAAATGAGAGAAGAGGAGGAAGGAGAGGAGGAGAGAAAGACAACATAACATTCAGTCCATTTTCATTGGTCAGTCTCAGAACCTGGGCTGGTATGAAGATTAGTATCATTTTTATTTATACAACACATTTAAAAAGACAGAAATATTTGAAATAAAACCAGGACAAAAGAGACGAAAAATTTGAAAAAAACGTTTACAAAAACATGAACAGAGGAGATTTTAACTTCAGGTGTTGGAGTTTTAGAAACAAAATGGAGACGATGGACCTTTAGGGTAGATTTAATTAAGATTTAATTAAGATTGAATTTCACCTTTAGTCCACCGGGGGCAAAAATGACCCAGCCTTATTTCCATCATTTAAAGGACATTTTATACTTTTTCAGTCAACCATGTTTTAAGGTGTTGATGATGAGGATGATGATGATGATGATGATGATGATGGTCATTTCTTCACGTCTTCTTCTTCCACAGGAGCGTGATCTTCTGGGCAGGATCTCGGAGCTGCAGGAGGAGGTGTCGAGGAGGAAGAGTCACATCGCCCAGCTGGACCGACAGATCCACACGCTCAACGAGAACATCAGCACGCTGACCAAGGAGCTGGAGCTCAAGGGCAAGGAGGTGCTGAAGATCCGCAGCGAAGCCAATCAGCAAATACGGTGAGAGCCCGGAACCTGCAGGGTCCAGAGGGGGGGGTGAACGGGGGTGAACGGGGGTCGGGTCCAGACTGGAGATCAGGTCTGGGCTTCACCTCAACAAACAAACTCAACAACAATAGAGTCGAAACAAAAGGTCTCCAGGTTAGGTTAATGTTCAAATTCAGGAGCACTACTGCCACCTAAAGGTGTATATTTATAGATACATACATATATATACATTACAATTATATATATATTTATTACTATATATATTACTCTACAATATAGAGTAATATATAGTATACTGTAGTAATATATATAGTATATATGTGTATATGTATATATATACATATATACACATATATACATATATGCATATATGTATATATGTGTCTATATATATATGTATATATGTGTCTATATATATATGTATATATGTGTATATACGTGTATATGTATATATATATAATATATGTGTATATATGTATATATGTGTCTATATATATATGTATATATGTGTCTATATATATATGTATATATGTGTATATATATTACTGTGGGAAAAAAGAGCTCAGTGAAGAAAGAAAAACTGATGCAAACTACAACAGAGAACATAAAATGATGTCATGTGAGGAATGGGGAGAAGGAGGGGGAGGAAGACAGATGAAAACATGGACGTCTGTCTTTCTGTCTGTCCCACTGTCCCTCTATCTGTATCTGACTCGACTGGGGCCAATATTCCCCCAGGGGCTTCACATCTTCTCCCTCTCTCTCCCCCTCTCTCTCCCTCTGTGCTTCCCTCTTCACTTATTTATTTATTTCTCTATTTTTATCTCTGGGAGCAGGATTCAGAGGAGGAGGAGTTGCGTAACAGAGCGGGGAGAGTAACACAGGCCTGGAGGAGAGAGGAGGTTTATTCATAAAGGCAGCGCAGGAGAAACATGTAGGAGTGTAAATAAATAAAGCCTGCAGCGGTGGAAGCTGCCGTGCACACCGACAACCACCGGGGACGCAGCTAACACTTATAGGCTAGTCAACTGATTAAAGATTTTCATCTAGTTAATTACATGCTCTGTAATTAATTAATGAATCGACATCACGTGTGTCCAAACGCCGACGTGACTCCCTGCTAAAATTAACTTTAACAGCCGATCATCAGGGATGAAGATGAAGTGTTACTGGTGTTTGGCTGATTGGTTTTTTTTCTTTCTTATTTTGAGCAGTTCTGGGTAAAAAAAAAAGATTATTTCATTCTTCTCCTTTTCCTTTTCTCCTAGGGTTCATGAACAGGAGCTGGTTTTAAATTATTTCATTCTTCTCCTTTTCCTTTCCTCCTAGGGTTCATGAACAGGAGCTGGTGAAGAGACACGAGCGCGAGATGATGGAGCTGAGCGTCGCCCACAGCAGAGATACACAGAACATGCTGTCGGACTTCAACAAGGCTCAGGAAGTCCTCAAAGACAAGATCTCTGCCCTGCAGATCCTGTACGTACTCCCGGGGTTCATGTACCAGTACCAGTACCAGTAATAGTACCAGTACCAGTACCAGTCAGGGTTGCCCACATGTACATCAAACCGGTGAAGCTGATTATGGGTCCAGTTATTTATATATAAACAGTGTTGACCACATGTACATCAAACCGGTGAAGCTAATTATGGGTCCAGTTATTTATATATAAACTCTGATAAACGTGAACGAAAAGAACGTTCTAGAAAAGTTCTCAGGGTTTAATACCCTCTCATCCATCAATCTGTGATGAACGCCTTTAAGTTTAATTTAAAATTTAAAACATTAAAAGTTTGCCAAAAAATAAATAAATTAAAAGTTAGGCCTTTTAGTTTATTTTTCAAGTCAGACTCTTAGAATGTTTTTGTTTTGTAACTTTTATAAATGTGTCTGAAAATCCAGCCCAGAATCTTTTTTTTAATTATCGTTTTTCTGCTTGAACGACGTTGTTTCCGAACGTTTTATTTTTTTTTCTCCTGCTCAGTGATATTTAGTTTGAGGGAAAATGTGAGCAGATGTGAAACGACTCTCAGAGAAGTGGAGTCCAGTCCAGAAATAACAAAAAGACGTTTCTGTTATAAGAAGAAAGGAGGGAAAAATAAACAGCAGGTCTGAAGGACGAGTTCAGAGGTCAACCTTTTAATCATTGCTCTGTGAAGTAGAAGAAGAAGAAGAGTTAAAGTCGTGGTTGTAAAGAGAGGGCAGAAAGGTCACAGGATGGATGACCTTTCAGGCTTAACTCAGAAAAGACAAGTGACTGAGGATCACCTCCTCCAAATATTTACTCCTGACTCAGCGGAGAGTAAACTCACACTAACTCACTCTTCTAATCTCCTTTGTTTATCTGAGCTTGAACTGCAGAATCGTTTATGATCCCGGTGTGTTTGCCGTGGGTTTTTTTTTTTCTCTTCCCCTCACACAGACTTGAAGGAACTGAGGATAAGTTCAGAAACCGCGAGAGTCGTCCCGAGGACCTTCAGATGATCGCCGAGCTGAAAGACATGGTGTCTGAGAGGGAGAGTCTCGTCAAGAAGCTGGTGGTAGGTGGACGCTAATGAGGAAACACTGTCTCACTGTCTCCACCGGGGGCACTGAAGAGAAAAACAAAGGACTCTCTGTTCTTTTAAACATCTACTGTTTATTATTGTCTCATTTCCACAGGTCCACTCTGTTTTAAGGTTCATCAGTATTTTCTTTTTTAGGTCTATAAACAGATATGTTTCTTCTTCAAACATCTTTAAATGTTTGAATTTGTGCCACAAATTATTTACAGTCTCTTAATTCTTCACAAATACTTTAATAATCGATTTGTTTCACTGAACCAAAAACAAAATCTGAAAAAAAAAAAAAAAAATTCTCCATATCAATCAAGATATTCACATTCAGATATGGTTTAAAAATATTTATTAATGTTTGTTGGAAGATGGTGAAGATTGTTTAGGTTAAATATTTTTACTTGTTTTTATTTAATTTTTTTTTTATAAAACTAGACGACGCTGTTGGAGACATAGATACCTGTGTCTGGACTGGTTTTTAAAACGTTACCATCAGATACCTGTAGAACTGACTGACTGACTGACTGACTGACCGACTGCCGTGATCTGAGCAGCAGCAGCAGCTTCAGCTTCAAGAGTCAGAGCTCCTTTTGTCAGTTTTTTGTCAGTTCTACCAAAAACCAAAACTCACCTCATCACCTTTCACACTACAGCGGGCAGCAACATTAGTTCTCCACCCGACAGAACAGCTCTCTCACCGCTGCACCCTCCGACGGGCCGCTGGCCAATATGGCAGAAAAATGGTTTGAGAGTTGAGTTTTTAAATGAAGACCAAATCTAAAAATAGAGTCAGGATTCAGACACTGAAGGTTGGGTTATACTGCAGCTGACGGACAGGGCCGCATGCTGTAGGAGTGGTTATTGTTCATGCCTTACAGCAGGAAGGGCTCCAATTCTGAGCCAAAATATCTTGTGGGGCGGGGCCACTGCAGCAAAACTATTCAAAGAAAAAAAAAAATCAACAACTTCAGTCTTAAATCTGACCTTTTAACCCCTCATCAGCTGTTTGATCCTGATGATGTCACTCTCCTTCCTCAGGACGATAAAAAGTTCTACCAGCTGGAACTGGTCAACAGGGAGACCAACTTCAACAAAGTCTTCAACGCTAGTCCTAACGTAGGAGTCATCAACCCGCTCATCAAGGTAGGACTGGGGGGAGGAGGAGGGAGGAGGGAGGAGGGGGGGTCCAGTAGTACGCTGCACACAGGAACACTCTGATAGGCTAAATTATTGTTAGTAGTAGTAGTAGTAGTAGTAGTAGTAGTAGTAGTAGTAGTATGTCACTGCAGAGCAAAGATGATATCCACTCCATCTCATCTCAGTCTGGACCACAGGTCTGAGCATTGTTTTCCAAAGACTGGGTCGCGGCCCCCAGGTGGGTCGCAAGATAGTTTTATTTTCGTTTTTTTTTTGGGTCGTTTCAAGTCACGTTTCCCAGGAGGATTATGAATAATGTCTATTGACTTGGGTCAATAGACATTAGGTTTGTAAATATGGGACCCCGGAAAAAAAGTTTGGGAAACTCTGGGTCTGAGTACCGGTCTGGCCCAGTCTGGACCAGTCTGGACCTCAGACCTGTGGTCCAGTGACTTTAGCTTTGAACTTCCCGACAGTAAAAACCTCAGTTTGTCCAAACTTATCCAAACAAAAAACCCTAAACAGATCATTTTTCTCGCGGACCACTCCCACTGTTTCACCTCATTCTCAGCCATGTCATACAGATCTGTCTGA